ACTAGGCCCAGATCTTACCGCAACAGTTCCCGGGCCCGCTGTCCAATTCATGTACTGGCCATCACCACGGGCGCACAGCATGGAGGAAGCAGATGAGTCAGCCAAGAAGACTACTGTTATGTCGCAGCGCCTAATGGCTATCGAGACCATATCGACCTTAAGGCTGGCTTGCAGCAACGTGCACTATGTCAATTTCTCTCCCATCGTTGAGGAGACAATCGCGTTTTGAGATTGGATTTAGGCACCACTTCCTAGGGTCGCTTTGAAAAGAGGAGGTCTAGGCCGCCAGATCAGCTTCCTGGTTCATGGGTCTAATGCGACCGAGAGCGGCGCAGACAAATGTGAAGCGGACAACAGAAACGGCAGCACGTTGGATTGATGAGGTTTTGGAAGAATCTAAGGGGAGTCGAGGAATTGAAGTGTTTCCCAATGCAGGAGCCGATCTAAGAAATGTCTTCCCGGGTGTGGTCAGACAGGACAACGTCTCTACTAAAGAGCCTGGGACTTTGAGCAAAAGAAAGTAGAGGCGGGAGGGCCGATGTGGTATAGAACTCGTGAGTTCTCTTATTCTACTTGTTCTCTTTACATTAGCTGATAAAAACGCTACGGCTTTGGAAAGTACTACAAGAATATTGACTAATTGATTTCCAAAGTCATACCGGATACGCATGTGCTAGCAACGTGCTCTATGTCCGCAGACAAAGCAAGGTTCATACCGTCAACATATCTACAGGTACTTAGACATCATGTGAAATATCGGCCGTATCATCAGAAGTAGGGGCTCCTGAAGAACCAAGGTCGGAAGTAACATCATCCGAAGAATCGATCAAGGAGTCTTGCATCGAAGAACCAGCAGTGTCTCGGGAGCCCTCACGCCCCTCCCGAAGCTCCTTGAGAGCCTGTTTTGTACGCAATTGAAGTTCATCCAGCTTTCGACATTTTTCGCAGTCGGAGTCCAACCGCAGAGTCTGAAGTGAATGGACGTTCTTTGTAGTGCACTCTAGACCACGCTTGCCAGACAAGAAGTCTTGTTGAACTTTGCAATAAGCCATCTTTCGCCCATATGTCGTATGCTTACATTCGTATATAGCCAGTCGATAGTAGCACATGATGGCTGTTTCCCTAACTCCTCGGAACTGTACGATATGCTAGTGTTTGTCGGGGTGTAAGTAGGTGGAGTTGCATGTGTATGGCGGATGGGACCTAGAGTTGAGAGGTGGATGTGGCACTTTACTTATACGCACAGCGGCGGTCCCAAACAGCATGAAATTCAAGAACAAGGGAGTATTTTCTAGGTGATCTTCGATGACAAGGAGATGATATTGAACAGTGTCGTAATCAGATGTTTGTCTCGACAATCCGGACAAAGGACCCATAGGACCCTGTGTCGACGCAATGTTGTCATAGATTACAGCTCTGCTCGACAACCACGGAAGACAGACATCATTCAGCCTTTCCACTTGCTGAGAGGAACCCACTTTGCAATACGTCTTGGAATGCCGAAGTCCAAACGATCTTGTCCACCTCACGACAATCCTGAACCCGGGGAACGTCGTATCCCAGCCTCGTTAGAGTCGTCATCAAACCAGACTCTGGCGTCGAAGTCACCACAACCCCGCGCGTCTCCAGTAGGCATTCCAGATCAGACGTCGAGTCGCCAAAATAAACGAGCCCCTTGGCATTGTCAACTCCCTGGCGAGCTGCCAGCGCCCGCAAAGCCCGCAGCTTGTCATCACAGGTCGTCAAGATAGTTTCCCGCCCCGATGGACCAAGGACTTCCGGCCCGGAGATCGAACCGTCTATTTCAATATCGTTGGCGACCACGTCAAATTCATACGCAGACAGCACGCCTTTGATGAAGGATCTCGACCAGTTGATTGAGACCACCGAGACAGGCCAATTATTCTGCTTGGCAGTGTCCATTAGCTTCGCGAAACCGTCCCGAAGCTTTACCCGCCCTTCCTGACGAGCAGCATCTCCGGCTTTCATGAGTTCCCCCCTGCTGATGTCCTTGAAAATGCCGGACCGTTCAACGCGGTGCACTGAGCGTAGCTCGACTTCTCTGAGACCACGCAGGTAGCTGAGCTCTTCCGAGAGGGTAAGCCGACCGTGTGCCGCAGGCTTGTAGGCCGAAACATGGTCGACGTGATCTTGGTTGTAGTCCTCAAGAATCTGCCGCCATGCTGCCGACAGATCCAAGCCGCGCTGTCGCTGGAAGTGAAGACCGACCTCAGCGATGGTCCCGATCGTATCCTTGGTAGTGATGGTTCCGTCAAAGTCCAACACTAAGTTGAGTTGCCGGTGAAACATGAGTCGAGCTGACAGCGTCGAAACGCGACGTATGGAAAAGTTCAATGTTCGTTGAATGTTTACGCGGTTCAGCTGAACCCTCAGGTGAAGCATGCTTGGTGCAGGTTTGTAGAGGCGAGGACAGTTCGTGGGCTAACGAGACACCTTTCCCCACTTGGAGACTGGCTATCCGGAGCCATGGCAACAAAAGAGGTCACGCAAGATTGGCGCCGCAGCAACAAAAATTAGGCTTCAAGCATCTGTTTAGGTCTGAATGAGTTGATTGTCCCTGGGAAAAATACGATGCGTCGATGCCATTCCCCGGTTTCTCCTAGTCCGAGTCCAAAAATAGCGATGCAAACCCTGCGACACGTCCACCAAGATCTAGTGTCCAGACGGATATCAAAATCCCGGTGACTCCCGGTGACAGAATCCTCGCCGGGTGATCATCTTGACAAACCCCAAACGCCGTGCAATGTATGAAAGTAATATGATGGGCCGCGGTCAAGCACCAGGCACAACATCCTCCATGACCATCTCATCGTCATCGTCGTCGGCTGCTGCCTCCTCTGGAGCTGTTTCGTTAGTTGCACCAGAAGCCATGCTCTTCATATGCTCTTGCAGCGACCACTCATTGGCGTGTATGCCAGACCGATTGAGAACCGCGATCTTCTCCAAAGTTTGTCGCAAGAAGGCTTCGGGCTGGTCAAATCTTGCCTTCAGGATAGACATCTTCCAGTACTCGTATTTTCTGAAAGCCTCCATGAGACCGTCCAAAAGCTGCTCCTCAGACATACGAGCCGAACGGTTTTCTGCCTTCTTCGGCTTTGTGGCCTTCATAGGAGCAGTCGTTTTCTGGAGGGTGTCAGCCGTAAGGAAAGGGAGTCGTAACCAGGTAGAGCGGGGACTTACAATGAAGGAGCCGAACTTCTCGACAGCAGCGGCAGAACCGTGTTGAATGACGTTGTTTGCCGCCCGTTGCCCCATGATTTGGAGAGTGTGTTTGGGCTTCAACGCTTCCAACTGCTTCCGCTGCAAGATTGCCTGGCTTTCGGCGTTATCTACCGGCTTGCATGCTAATTCATACTGGATCCTGGCGGCGATTTTTGTTTTTTCTGGGGCCATGTTAGGACGCGCAAGTCGCTGTCTGGGGATTATACGGACTTGGGATCGCCTTGCGGTAATACGGTTGCCACCGGCCACGCTTCTCGAACGGCTTCTTTTCCACCTTTTCGTTCTTTGGGCGCAGGAATCGTGCCGGTATGCCCGCGTTGGCGGCGTCGTTGCGTGCCTTGGACTTGGCCTTGAAGCCAGGCAGATCCTCCTCGGAAAACACGAAAGTGCTGCGCGCAAGTTCCTTGCCCATTTCGAGATCGTACTCCTTCGGCATGAGTTGATGTTCAGGTCGGTTCGAGTTGAGAAGCATCTTGAAACGGTGCTGTAAAGGGCAGACACGTCAGGTTTGGCTACAGAGTGCACCGCAACGCGCCATTCACATACCTCGACAGCGCCATCGGGCCGAACCACATCCCACTGTCGCATTGTTCCGATCTCAATCTCAGCATCGTCTGGTAGACTGTCCCAGGCATCCCAGAGGTCTTTCGGGACCCGGGCTAAGTATGCTTGGCCAAAGGCACCCTGCTCGCTGTTGGGGTCGAAGAACTCGAGATCGCCGGCATCTTCGTACAAATCGTCCTCATCGAGAGGAGAGGCCGAAACAGCGTCAGGGTCGGGCTTGATGTATGGTTCTTGCTTGATGTATGTTGAATCCGCCATGGTGAGTTGTACCGCAGCCCTTGGATTTGTTCAAGTCGTGGCAGGTGCGGCGGATTTGCGAATGACGAAAGGCTGTTGAAAGCGAACCTAGGCACCCCTAGCTCCTGCGACCTAATAAGTGTGCTAAGGTGCTCTGCACCACCGCACCTTGAAGCAGCTGCCCTTACACAGGCGCGGGCGCGTGTGGCACCTGCTGGGGTCCGAAAGAGGATTAGCCTCTGGATCATGTGACGCGGGGAATGGTATGGGAAGGTGCTCGAATGTGAATGACTGCCTCGCCGCCTTTGTAATAGCCAGTCCTTTTTTTCTTCTTTTTTTTTCCTGCTTGCCTTCCTTTTGGTATCTTGGGATTTTGCTGCCTGTGGTGGTGAGGTTGCGGTCAAAGGACTTTCGATCGCGTCGGCACCTGAGGTGGGCTTACGTATCGTCCACTAGCAGCAACTACGTACCTAAAGCCCCTACCTACGGATAGGTATTCGTAGCTTACCTCAACTAAGGTAGGCCAGCCGCAGCGGACCCGACCACTTAAAAAGCCCATGGACCCTACCGCAATCAGCCAGGGTTCGCCACTACTGCCAGCTTCTTATGTGGCCGGGCCCATCCATTTCAACCTGGAAGGAAGGTCATCAGCTGCAACAATAAAAAGTCCGGTCTACGAATACCCGACCCTGAACGTTAGGTACATCAGCCCTCCTTCCATTGTTGCAGGGCGCCTCGAGAGGCATCTCGCCTGGCTTGGAAACTCGCTGTATTGATTTGATTCACGATTCGAATGTCAACAATGAGACTTCTGCCTGTTTGTTCATCATCTATTGCACACTTCACCACGACGACTCTACAGTCCGGCTAGACCCTCTCTTTGGCTGCTCGTCGAAGAAGAAGAAGAAGAAGAAGAAGAAGGACAAGGAGACGAAGAAGAAGAAGAAGAAGCAATCATGCCAGGGCCCAAGTCACTTGCGGAGCTGTGCATTGCAGTATGCCAAAGACACGTCACCGAGCTCAGCAGTGTTGGAAACAGCGATGCACTCCAGTACCATCACGTCCGCGACATCCTCCTCCGAGTCACCAATCCCGCTCAGCTCCGCGAAATCGAACTAAACTCCCCGCACATCCAAGGAGAAACATCCGAACTATGGCAACGCTTCATCAAAAGAGAGTTCCCGTCTGAGAGCCACGAAAAAAATTACGCGCCTAAGAATCCGACCAAGTGGTACAAGATTTACGAACGATATGCCGAGGAACGTCGAGAGTCACAGCAACAGGCCGAGGCTGAATTGCGCGCAAGATTTCAAGGTCTCCAGCAAAAGAGAGACAACAATACTAGCCGCATTGTCGATCAGAGATACCTCCCGAAGCCTCCCAAGACCGGTCGCACCTTTGGGACCCGAGGACGAGGAGGCAAGGAGCTCCCAAGCTCCCTGAGTTTTGCCGCTGGCAGCCGATTGAAGACCACGAACGGCGCCAGCGTCATGAAGAAGGCCAGAAGAGAGGCAGCAGAGATCGCCGGCATAAGAAGCAGGCTTGCTGTTCCCACCGGCATGATCCGAGCACCTCGAGTCAATAAAGCACCGGCGTCCATGGCAAGCGAGCATCGCATCGCATCGCAGCCCATTTTCCGGCCTACATCCACCAGTTCCCGACCGCCTATGGCCTCAAAAACCACATATGTTTCCGACTCCTCGGATGAAGACGACAAGGGTGACCTTTTTGGCGATGAAGGATCTGGCAGAAAACAGCGGAAGGCCACATCATCTGGCTCAGGGTCCCCGGCAAGCAACGGCCGCGACAGGGGAGCACTATCTGCGCAGCCGGGCACGCCATCGAAGGCATCCTCAAGAGATTACAGTGCACTCAGATCCTCGTCATCCGCCGTTATGTCCCACACCGCAGGGCTGAAGCGCGGTGGCGGTATCATGGGAAATGCACCTAAGCCGAACAGTAACAATATCAGGATTGAGCGGCCGAAGCCAAAGCTGGAAACAGCCGGTCCTACAATCATGGAACCGCATCGGGCGCACAAGACTGCGGCTCAGCACAGCGGGCCCCAGTCACCTCCACCCCTCCCGGTATCCCTGGACGAGTTGCAACCGGTTCGGCCACTCATCGGTAATCAAGAGCTGCCGAAGAAGAGGAAGGCAGTTGACATATTCATGCCCAAGAAGAAGACGAGACGCTAAGCGTGAAGGGCGGGAAAGCGAGGACAACATTGTAGAGATATTTGTATTGACAAGGCGTTGGCCCATTGGCAAGGGACGTGGCACCAGGATTTGTTTGGCGTTGGCAGGATGTGTTATATACCCTCTTGGTTCGAAAGGTTCCTTGGCCACCACTAGCTGAAGACTCTAGCTCGGACAAGATAGACTCGCACTACACTAGCATGATGGCAACTGCGACAAGGCTTCTGATGATTACTACCTATTCCCTGTCGGTGTACATGATGCGCAACTGGATTCCACGGCAAAATGATGCTTGCAGTGTATGCTCTCCTCTAGGAGACTAGTTGCTGTCCAGCAAATGATGGTCTCGCTGACCACAGTCAGACAGACAGACAGACAGACGTTTTCGGCTGTAATGTATCGAGGGCGCGAGTCTTCAGGCTACACCGTCGTCGGCTCGTTTGCATCGTGCTCTAACCAGCTCCCCGCTGATGGGTAAGAAGACGAAAGTTGGCGCGAGGCTCTGTCTTGACAAAAATCCTCAGCACACGTCGGAAGCCTTGCCACCTCGGAGAGCCAGCACGAGATGGAGGGTGGCGCCGGCCTCGAGGCCATACTCCGAAGCTGACTTATCGTCGACCCTGTTATTTGATCGCATCAACTGTCAGTCATGCAATCAAGCCCAGCAATTTCAAGGCTCTCGGCCATGGCAACCACCTGGAATACTGCTTACATCTGCTTTCCGCCGTAGATGAGTCTTTGTTGGACGGGCGGGATGCCCTCCTTCTCCTCGACCTTTTCCTTGATCTGCGAGACCTGCGTCCGAGTGTCAGTCTTGTGGTCGTCGTCATCCGTCTGAAGCACTGCGAACCTTGTACTCGTTCTCGATGTCGAGCTCGATCTCCTTGCCGGTCAGCGTGCGCACCCTGGATGTTGAAGCGTCAGCTCATGTGCAGTAACGGGGCGAGCAGGCATGCGCACGCGAAGTCGAAGCGCGGGCACTCACTTGATCAACATTTTGAAAAATCAGACTGCTCGGTGTGTACTCTGGGAGTTTATTGTATTCGCGGGAAGGCTGTATCGTCGCCTTTCTGTCGTATTGTTGTGTTTTGAGGTGTTGTTCTGCTCGTTGAATTGGTGACAATTGACGGCCGGAGGTCAAGCTTGCAGGCAGTAATACCTAGGTAGATGGGTAGTGGGGGAGGGGTGTTGGTCCAAGTGGTTTAATGTGGTACCTTGGTAAGGTAGCACCGTAGTGTACGTAGGGGCAGGGATGCGGGGCTTCCATCATGGCCGACCGGCGACCAGCCCCTACCATGAGCAGGCTACACGTTTGCCGTTAGCAACCCGACATTTGTGCCGTAATTACTTGTAGGAGAACTGCTTTCACAACAAAAGGCTTTTTTCCCCATCGAGTCAGCTAAAATCTCAGCTATACAGGCACTCATCGTATTGAACCAGACTTCACTCTTCAAACTTGACGGATATCCACCCTGCATTGAGCAGTTTTCGTTATGTTCACCTTACAATAACCCCCCAGCCGATACTTAGGCGATGATGGGTGTAATCGAAGCTTTCAGCGGCGTTTTCTTCTTCTTCATTATAATACATATCCCATACTCGGGGATCGTAGGAATACAGTGGAGACTTGAAGCTGCATTGCGGCCCCCTTATTTCTTCTCGCCGCCCTCGAATACGTTCAGACCCAGACCCTCCGAGTCGAGCAGCAGTCTGTTCTTGCTGCCCGCCTCTTGCAGCTGTGCGGCAATGGCACGGGCGTTCTCGATCTTCTTCAATTCAACATAGGCCTTGTTCTTCTTGATGGCCTCTCCGATCAGCTCAGCGGAGCGAGCCTCACCCTGAGCCTTGACAACCATTGCCTGCTTCTCCTGGCGAGCCTTGTCGACCACGAATGCCGCGCGCTGGGCTTCTTGCTGAGCGACTTGCTTCGCCTCGACGGCCGCTGTGAATTCGGGCGAGAAGGCAAGGTGCTATGGTGGGGGGGGGGGGGCCAAAGTTAGCTCTAAGAAGGACGTGCGGACATGGCCGGAAAGACATACCGTCAATGAGACGTCGTCCAGGAGAATATTGAAGCGCGCAGCTCTGCGGGAAAGGTTCTCGCGAACCAACTTTGCAACCATCTCTCTCTGAGTGATAAGCTGGCTGGCATTGAACTGGGCAACGACACTCTTCAGAACTTCGTTGACGATGGAGGGCAGAACCCTCTCGTCGTAGTCAGTACCCAGGGTACGGTAGATCTGAGGGAGGGCCTTGATATCTGGCCTGGACAGAACACGGCAGGTGATGTTGACCATCTGCAAATCCTTCGTTCCGGTGAGGGAGGCGACGTTTCTCGGCTTCGCGCGGACATCATAGGTGACGGGGGTCTCGAACCAAGGGACAATGAAGTGGGTTCCTGAAGACGTTCTCTGTGTTAGCCCACTGCGCAAGCAAGATTGAGGGCCGGACCATTTCGGGCAATACGAGGATGCCAGCTACTCACCTTCGCTGTAAATTTCCTTGCTCACACCACTTAACCTCCGGTACTTGATCGCTCTGTGTCCTCCGTCGACGTTGAACAGCGCATTCTGGGCAAGAATCGCGGCGCCTCCAAGAAGGAAAATACCACCCAGACCCATTCCCAGGCCGCGAGGACCTCCCGGCATGCCGCCGCCTCCGAAACCTCCTCGCTTTTGCTGTTGCTGGGCCACCTGCCTCAAGCGCTCGTAGGCCTCCTCCATGGGGCTCCTTCCTCCGGACATGGCGAACGGAAGGTCTGGTCGTCGGACGGGATCTAGCGCAGAATCGTAATCGAGTAGGTCGTTCGGCGTGGTGGAACGAGCGAGCGTGATTGCTGCAGCTCACGGAAAGCTGGTGATGGTGGAGCTTTGTCAGTCTTCAACGTCACGGTCGTCTTGCGGAGCTCGAAAATTGAAGTTGGCCGGTGCTTTCGGCAACCACCACCTTGCGTCGTAGGCTGCGCCCACTGGCAGCAACTGTCAGCCACCTGAGGCACCCACCTTACCTTGGGACAAGGTGCCTTGGTCCTCTCCTCCACTGTAGCCGTCATTAACTCCGCGGGGCACAGACCATACCCGCCGCCTCGCCCTCAGGTCAGGTCACCATCTGGCGGGTACCGCTCCGCCAGGTGGCAGGTCCCAAGACGACACCCAAGGCCAAGGTACAGAACGACTTGCAGTCGCTCTTCTCGCTCTTCTCGCTCTCTATCTCTCAGTTGACAACCGGCTTGTCTCCGCTCTTCAACAATACGCTGTAGCCGCAGCCAACATGCCATTGGACTTCTCTCGTGATTCCTGCATCAAAGCCGCACACGCACTTAACCCCTGCAACAGCTAACCGCCGCATCTTTACCGAAGTGCTAACTCCCTTTGGACCTTAGCCCACCAGGTGCAGACCAAATGCGGAGGATTTTGTTCAGCTGACCTCAATTCGCAATGTGCTGTAGGTTTTGCTTGATGTGAGGCTCTTCTCGCCGTCGACTCATATCCTCTCTTGTCTTTAGTCTCAGAACTCCGAGTTGCTCTTCCCCGTCCAGTCAACAAGGATGGCAGCAACACAGACCATCTCGGACCTCAATGCTGCCCCTGGGACCGAATCGGTAATATCAACCAAACGGCTTCTGATTCGCCCCAACACCTTCGCCGACGCCGCAGCCATGGCCCGCGGGGCGAATAACGTCAAGATCGCGGCCAACATGCGCAATACCTTCCCCTCCCCTTACCTCCTTGAGCACGCCGAAGGCTGGCTCGCCATGTGTGCCAAAGATCCGGGAAATAGTTTCGCCATCTGCAGGGTGGACGACGGCGCCTATGTTGGCAATATCGGTGTCATCCGCGGCAATGACGTACAGTATCGCACCTGGGACGTGGGTTATTGGGTTGCGGAAGACTATTGGGGAAACGGGTACGCGAGCGAGGCTCTGCCTGCCTTTTGCAAGTTTTGCTTCGAAAGCAACCCATCTCTGCTCAGGTTGGAGGCCTCAGCCTACAGTTCCAACGTGGCCAGTCGCAGAGTTCTCGAAAAGTCGGGGTGGACATACGAAGGTGCCAAGCGACAGGCCGTCGAGAAGAATGGGCAGGTGCTAGACTTGGTACTGTTCTCGATTCTAAGACATGAGGCCGTACGGTGAACGCCCCTGCTTGCTGAAGTGGGCAAGTTGGAGGGTTCGATCACCCCATGTACGTGCAGCTGCTCAAGGCGGTTGAAGGGGCCTAGGACCACACATGCCTTAAATATGGTACGGTGGAGTAATTGATGAAAAGTGTACAACGACAACAACTGTTTGTTGGATTCATTGAGGAAAGTGAGATCACCTCGTGCGCGGTGAAGGTGGGCACAACACAAAACGTTGGCGGCTGCGTTGGGTCAGAGTAGAAATAGCACCGTCTCATTGTCATTATCATATTGTCTCGTGTAGAGGAAACCCAAAAGGTGAACCATCATCCCGGCACAGTCGTGGGCCGCCATGGGGGGTGAAAAGCCAACGGCAAAGGTACTACCTAATTTAAGCCCTCTTATTTGCGTCCGCCTCGGCTGCCGACATGGCTACGCGTCGGCCAAACTTCTTAGTCCAAGCAGCATCGAAGTAATCAAGTTCAACGGCACGAGGCGGCATGCTCCTCTTACCAGTGTGAGCATTGTCTGCCGTGAGGTTGCCGCATGCTGGACGGGTCAGGTTATTGCCGAACGCGTCAAGTGTCCAGAGCAACACGCCGTTCGTCCATCCAAACCCCTCCACAACCTCATACTCTCCTCCACCTCCCCGAGCATTGGTTGAATTATCCGCATACTTCTCAAACATGGTGCCAACCAATTTCGCGCTGAGGCCCGGTTCCTGGGCTAGTTCGCTCGTGGAACCGCCTGTCGCTCGCCAAGTACAAAACGTGGAATCCAAGTATCGCTGTCCCAGGCGAAGAGCCAGGCTCTGAACATCGCGGTAGGCAGGGTCTGATTCCCCAAATGTCGGCGGGGTATTTAGCAATCCTTGCATCAGGATGTGCATCAGGGGTGGCCACACATTCCGTTGATCCCATTGTTGCCCGGTCTTCAAGTTGGTTGCGGGGATGCCGCCAGGTTGGAGCTCCAGGTACTTTTCAACACGCTCATAAGCTACCTTGACGGCGTAGGGATTGCTCCTCAAATGATCCGGGGCGGCACCGGTCCAGAACGGATAGAACTGCGCAACAGAGAATACAACTTGCTGGTCTTTCTCTGCAGTCTTGGTCTCGATTTCGCTAGCGTCATCATCTCTGGGAGTGTAAATGTTTTGAGCACCTGAAGTGGTGTTGTAGTCGAAGTAGCTGTGCAAAGTTGAGTTCCACATTAAGTCATACATGGCCTGGCTTCGGTTACTGGCCAGCTGTTTCCAAGCAGCTGCCCCGGTGGCGTTGTTTGTGGAGTTGAGGAGGCTTGCGATGGTCACCTCGTTCCAGTAGAGGATGGCATTTAGTCCGACTGGCACCGTCCCGATTACGTTCAAAGATCTCAGAGGAAAGTAGATGTCTTTCGCTGCATCTTCGGGTCGGGCGAGCCATCGGGAAGTGTAATCCCATCCGCTTTCGGCTCCGCTTGCCAGGTTACGATATAAGGTGGCCTTCTCGCTCTCATTAAGGGGCTGCATCTCGGGGTAAATGATACCGCTAGATGCATAGTACGAGGTGTTGGACGCCGTGATGTAGTCTTCTCTGTACGACTCTGGCCTTGGCTGGGTGTTATTCACGTTGTAACTTGATCAGCCATGTTAGCAGCCTTGTCCGGGTCTACGGTTCTTAACTTTAATAAAACTTACTCGTTGAGACGATATGTCGTTCCATTCTTGTTGACCTCTATAGTTCTGTTGACCATCCAGAAGTCATGCTCTTTGATTAATAATGGAATGGCTCGTTCTAGAACACTCGAGTCGTTGGTGTGCTGGACATAGAGATGGACCATTTGAGTCAGCAAAGGAGGCTGAGATCGGTTCAGATAATAAATTCTCCCGCCATTTGGCACGAAGCCAAAACGGTCGACCAAGTCCAGGAAATTCTCAATCATGTTCCGGGAGATTTCGACAAAACTGCCGCCGGTACGGAGCAGACCCTCCATGATCCTGGTTCGATTCATCAGCAGTTGAATAGTCGTGGTAGAAATCAAAGGAGACCAAACCAGTAAGTGTCCCAATAGTATGCCTCTCTGAAACGGCCACCAGCAACAACGAACGTGCGGTTGAGTGGGATGAAGGAGGTGGGACAGTTAGTGCAGTTGCCCGCGGGATTCTCGTACTTGCGCGTCAGGTCCGACCAAATATCGATGACCTTGTTGGCGAACTCCTTGATTACGGTATCATTGATCTTGTTTAAAAACTTGGGGTCTGGCCGCAGTAAATCCTTTGAAACCGCCTTGAGCTCATCGCCGGCGCTAGCGAAGTTGTTTTTGATGAAGTTCAAGAGCTCCGTATTGTTGCTCAGAGGTTTTGTGAGATTGTCGAATGCTGCTTGGATCTCTTCCATGGTCTTGACAGCGGGCCTGAGGGAGGTGTCAGAGATCACAGGCGGCTCGAGATAGCGTAGAGCCGATGAGCAAGTTAGGCCAGACCAGCCATTACTGGCAAGGTGCCTCGGGGTGCAGAGAAGCGCTCGGCACTTACATGTCAACAAAAGTCTTGGAGTCTGAGAATGGCCGCGCCAGTTGGATTTGCTTCAGAATTTCCCCATGACAATAGATTGGCGAATCGCACGGAGCGACGTCAGATCCATTGTGATAGAGACCTTGGCAGACTTGTGCGAAAGCAGCAAGCACAGCCAGGCATAGAGCAAGGAGCGTCATCGAGTCTTGCGAAGCTTCCGGACCTTACACAACAAATGTGACGATGCCAGAGAAGCGCAGCGAGGTGGGTGAGCGGGACTAAGCAGACTTCGGATGAAGAGGTCCACGGAAGGGTATATAAAGTATGTCCGAGATAGAATACACAGGGCGAACCGCGATCGGCACAAAGTGCCTGCCTGCCTGTGAATGGAAAGGGAAAGGGACGCGGAACACGAAGGCGTGGGCGGGGCCACGGGCGCTTGGACGGGTTCGTTGCTGCTTTTGATCGTCAATACCGTGCAGTGCCCAAAGTGCTCCGAACTGCAAGAAGGCAGACCCGGAGAAGCGGGGGAAATTGGCAGGGATTCGGGGCAGAGGCAAGATTTTCTAGGATGTCTTGCAATGTGACGAGACGAGATGATTCCAGTCATAAATTGGCTCGACAACAGCATGGTTCGACACGTTGGACGCCACAACTAACACCATTGAGCATTGCATCAATCTTTTGGGCTTGCCTGCAGACACCGTCCTCTTCGTACGTTCTGGGCATCGAAGGTGCCGCAGAAGAGCCGGTATGAGAACGTCATTAGACCGATTGGCACAGCCTTTCCTGGGCAAGACGGAGGTGTGTGATACTTTTCGCTGTCATTGCACTGCAACATTTCGTTGTGACGTCAGCCATGACCAAGACCTTAGTGCGAAGCACAGCAGCAGTAGTTGGTCTTGGAAAAGTTGTGCCTCAGCTGTTCGGCGGGGTATCCGACCTGCACCGCTCCATTACAAGCAGGATCTAGCCCGGTCTATGAACGGCTGCTATTGGAGCGCCGAACCGGCTATGCGGAGAAGCTCGGCGCCCCCGGAAAGCCTTTCTCCACATTCTTCCGGAGCGACCCACCCCCGCACAAATGCCCTCGTCCAATACTGCATGCATTCGCCCCCTTCCTGGATATGACAGCAGACGGTGCACAAAATGAGTAGCAATGGCACGACTCCCGGTTGCCGAGCAGACCGGATTGTGTCTCGTAGAATCGCGGGCACGGGGAAGTTGCTGTCCAGACCCCGAGACAAGATCTCCGGCGGATGCGCCCAGACTAACTAACGTCCTAGACATGCTTACCGAATCTCACACCGCCAGCAGCATATGTAAGGCTTCTCAGCACGCCGGACGACTGTGCCGATCCGACATTCTGGGCCTTGCCGATGGAGAATCTACCTTACGGTATAATCCCTGGTGAAAACGACAGCGAGGCGTAAGTGTGGTGTGGTGTGATGTAAGCTCATGTCTGTCACATCTGATGATTTGCATCTCCAAAAGCCTGGGAACAAATTCCTTTCTATTGGCCATTGCGGTGCTATTAAGCTAACCATGTCAGCCGCCAAATGTGACATGTCAATCAGGAGATCCCCGTCACGTCTTACATTCGCCTTCGGAAAAACAATATTGACAGCGTTCTCCTGGCCAGTGTAGAGCTACAGTTGCTGCTCACTGAGCCGTAGACTCGGGAAGAACTTTCGGGCTTCTGTTTCATCGGCTCGACGCAAGTTCAACTTCAGAGCTTTCACCGACCGCGATACATGTTTGAAGGACCCTTGTTCGTAGTAGCTTCATTGCTGCCACCTTCCAGTGCGCGGCGGAAAACTTGCTCCAGTCTCGGAAGGACCTCTTTTTCGTTTTGGGCAATCTGGTAGTGAATGACGAGCCGGTTTCCAATCAATTTCAAGCCGGCGTCTTTACCAAATGCGACGAAGGCCTCTGTACTGCAGCCAGCTGAACCAAGATCGAGCCAGCACATGTTGGTATTGACTGGATGGATGAGCTTCCCGCCCAGCTCAGTCCAAAGCTTCTCAATCTTCTTGGCAGTTTCGTGAGAAGACTTCAAGAGACCCCCCTCGCCATTTGGCCCCTTTCCAAAGGTCTCATCGACAGCGACGCGTGCAGGAGCTGCAACGACACCAGACTGACGTAGACCACCCCCAATGGACTTGCGAATCCAACGAGCATGCTTGATATCTCGCGAACTGCCCACAATTATACTACCAATCGGAGCACCAAGGCCTTTGGAGAAACACAAGCTGACTGTGTCGAATAGAGAGCAGTATTCCGAGAGGCTGCCGGCACCTGATGCGACAGCCTCCCACAACCTTGCACCATCGCAATGGAACTTGAGATCGTTTTGGCGGGCGAACTGAGCGATTCTTCTGACCTCGGCAACGGGGGTAATCACGCCGTTAATGGTATTCTCCAAGCTGATCACCTTGGTAGGACATGTGTGTACGTCGTCGTCCAAGTCTGCATTGGCCACAACATCCTCAAGCGTCAGGTAAGCCCCGTTGCTCGGCACGACAGGCTTCACCATGGCGCCGCATAGAGACGCTACACTGAGAGTGATGTATAAGCAAACACGCAAGGATCACCGGGAGCGGGGCTAGTGCACCTACCCGCCTGCCTCGTACTTGATGATATGGGCGCGGTGATCGCATAAAACACTATAGGGGGGTTGGGTAAGGAGAGTCCTCAGGGCGATCTGGTTCCCCATAGTCCCGGAGAGAACGAGGAGAGCAGCCTCTTTTCCCGCAAGAGCAGCGACATGAGACTCCAACTCCATTGTGGTCGGATCTTCCACAAACACATCGTCGAGAAGACTGCAGTTCTGAATGGCAGCAAGCATCGCCGGCGTCGGGGTTGTCATGGTATCACCTTACGCCAGTCAGTCACTCAGCAAAGGGTCAGAGATCAGCAGAACTGCATACGCACTTCTCAGGTCAACACCAGCGGCGCCATGGTGGCCAACCCAAGCGTTGGCTTGCTTGGGGCCATTGGAAGAGCCATTGGCAATATTGGTGACGGCAGCTGGAGCCATTGTTGATGATGAGGGTCGGATGGTCGTACACGAGAAGGCACGGGTGGTTGAACGGTTGAAGTAGGCCGTCGAGACCCGTTGCGGGGTCAATCGGTTGCAACGTCGCAGCAAGGGCGCGCCCATGCCGGGGAGGTCTGTGAGGTGGGCACTCCGGTCAGTGGTCCGAACCGGCTCCGAGAGACGGGGGCTCCCAGGTGGAGGCTACATGGCACTCGCTGTCGCGCTGCCGGGGCATGCCCCGGTTGACCAGCTGTAGGAACTCACAAGACATTTTAACGGCTGACGTGGTTGGCGAGAGGCATACGCGGGACATTGCCCGTTGATGAGAGATGATGAATGTTTCAACGACAAGGAATGGCAAGTTTGTTCCCTCCGGCGTCGGCGTCCAGTATTGCGGATATCGTGTCCAATGATGGGCGGGGAAGATAAGGAGGCTCGCTTTCGGGTCAAGCAGCTCCGCAGTTGTCTGCGAAAGTTGGGTACTGAAGACGCCTGAATGGAATGTTCTCAAGTGTACACGTGCTGTACCGAGATCCCTCAGGTCGTATGGACCAGCATCCGGTTGTTTTCACTGGTCAATGTGCTGAAGCCTTCTACCAAGGTACTGACTGAAGACTTGACAATTAAGGCCGGCGGGGGCTTTCCGACGACCACGAAGCTCGCCTGCCTTATCTTATCAAGAGAAGAAGCGCCATCGCAGGGTCAGGTACATGATTGGCCGCATGAGTTTCGTGGTGGATACTTGGGGAAACACCAAGGATGCACTCCTGGGGAGCTTTGTTGTTTGGCGGGCAGCGGAAGAAACACACGGGGCGTGGTCTGGAATGAAGACGTTCCAGTCAATGCTTGAATGATCGAGAACAAGCTCTGTCCACTGCGGGCTGAGGCAGACACCGGCCTTGGCCTTAATTAACTTGCTTGGCAGAGCATGTTGCGAAACTCGACAGCGGCAACACCAGCGGCCTCTGAGAGAAAACACCTACCTAGGGGCAGCGGCCTTTGTCAGCATGGGCTGGATGGATTGCGTCAGTTACCTAGGTAAGTGACAAGCAGTGCTTGCACCCTGGGTAGTGTTTAGCTTCCTCGTGTCTTTCGGAATTTGCACCGTAAAATGTCACTACTGGATCCAGTCATTTCGTGGAATTCCGCCGTTCTTTCTCACCCAACAGCCGGGGGGCAAACGAAATAGATGCACAGTCATTAAGAGGCGCTTATGGTTACGGCTGCCTTACCTAAGGTACACTAGGTAAGGTACCTACCTAATCATCAACATGAAATGAGCAGAGCCCCACTTTCAAACAGCCTGGGAAAAGCTTCTTCGTCTTAAGACCCTGCAGTGGTCGCGTTCCAATCGGCTTGGCGGCACCGAATTAGCAAGCAAACCAACCGCAAGGGGCGAGAGGCTCTTTTTGTTGCTGCAGCTCCCATTTGAGTTGAGCTGCTACAACAGCATGTCCCCATGTGTTCTGATGATGGGATGCCACTCTTTAATCTGCAGAAAAGCCTCCAATTTGCTCCAGTTGATGGTGCGAGCAGCCGGTGTCCCTCCCGTCCCAAAACGCTCTGCATCCAGTGTCATCACACATGCTCAGCTCTCCACCCTTTGGAACTCCGACATGCAAACGGCATACCAGTCGATGAGCATGCCGCCTTCCCCCGAAACACCCAATGGATAACAGTATGCCCTGCCGCAAGGCGCAAGACGCAAGACAGTCCGTGGACCCTCGTGTCTAGGTATCGCGCATGCGGACTTGCAACACCTTCTGGCCCGCCACACTCTGCCCAGCCCAAACAGGTGAGGTGAGTTTGGGCCGATCTGGCTTAATCCAGGGGCTCCCTTGGTATCTTTGAGGCGCCGTCACACCCTCTTTTAGTGCTGTTCATCATGGCGAACGGCCAGATTGTAAGGTTCTACGCAAGCGGGCTGACGCTTAAAGCTGCGAAGGAGGAATCCGGCCAAAGTGCCACAGTCGCCTGCCGCGCCTGCTCATGCTGCTGCCACCGGCCAATGTTGTATGAAGCGCTCCTTACCATTCAGAGTTACGTGCAACGTTGGTGCTCGGGCCTGTCCAGCCTGTCCAGCCTGTCCGAGCCTGCCTTGCCCGTCAAGTGTCACACATGGATTGCACTGTCTTGCTTGCCTCATAGGTAAGTACACCAAGCTCCCACAGCTTCCATTCTTCTCCCGTGACTGCCTTTCTGTTAACAAAGGAACGTCCCCTAGCCACCCCTTCTTTCTGGAATGAGCGTTGCACAGGCACCTCTCGCTCGAGTCTCTCTACCTGAGCCAACCCATAATGGCAGCTTGAACGCCCGACATTCCTCTACTTTTTTTTTTTTTTTTTTTTTTTTTTTTTTTTGTGCCCTCCTTCGGCGTCATCTCCCAGCAACACTTCCCGCGGACGTCTTTACCTTCCTTCAACAAGATCGAAGCTATGGTGCTGCAATGGAGGATCGGTTCCTCCGTCCCTCTGAAGACCATCATCTTCTTGATCGTCTGCCTTCTGCTGTACGCCAGCCAACACCCAGCTCTCGACCGTTTCGACCACCGAATAACGGGAACTGATCTATCCCTAAATCTTCCCAAGAATGGACTCGACTTTGGCGGAAACGCGAGCGACCAGCAGTCTTTCTACAAATCGGACGCTGCTCGGAAATTCTGCAAGCACCACGGCTATTCGGTCTTTACACCATCGTCAGACGACAGGCCACGGAAAGTCTATGATTTATTCATGGTGAATACAGAGCTTGACTGGATGGAGATTCGCCTGAACACAACCTACCACCATGTGGACTACTTCATCATTGTCGAATCTCCCAAGACGTTCACAGGCAAGCCGAAGCGTCTCACGATCAAGGAGGACTGGGATCGTTTCAAACCTTATCATGACAAACTTATCTATCACGAGTTGGAATTCCCGTCGACATTCAACCCGACTCGATCATGGGACTACGAAGATTTGCAACGCAACGCCATGTACGATCAAGTGTTTCCCAAGCTTGTCGGCAGGCAGGCGCCTGTGTATGGAGACGTGATTCTCGTAGCTGATGTCGACGAAATCGCTCGCCCTGAGACGCTGTTAGTCCTTAGAACATGCCAGTTCCCCCGCAGGCTCACGCTGCGGAGTCGCTTCTACTACTACAGCTTCCAGTTCCTCCACAAAGGCCCCGAGTGGGAACATCCTCAGGCGACTTACTTTCAAGGCCCGCGGACACTTCTTCCAGCAAATCTTCGCATGGGCGACGGGGGCTTCAAGCCGCTATACGACCTGGAGAAGGCAGACCTCGGCAATGCCTGTTGGCACTGTTCCAGCTGCTTCGCGACGATTGACGAGTTTCTCACGAAGATGGCCTCCTTCTCACACGAGTGGATGAACGGGGAGCGGTTCCGAGACAAGGATCGCATCGCAGACGCTATCAGAAATGGGAAGGACCTATGGGGGCGAGCTGTCGACCAGTTTGAGCGTCTCGAGAACAACACGGATGTGCCGAGCATGTTGCTGGACGAGCCTAGCAGATTTGGGTACATGCTGAACCGGGACGGTCCATCCGCCGGGTTTGTCGACTATCCATGAGCTTTCGGCGCTCTATGCTGTACGCTTTTCAACTTCCGGCTTCGACTGACAGTACTCCGTCAGACGAGCTGAACGTTTCTCCAAGTCGGAGGAGGCTTTTTTCCCTTTTTGATCATCGTTGAGGCACGCATATTGATCCGATTATCAGCAAGGAGTCTGGCATAGACGATGATATACAGTACGGGTGTTGGTCGGGCCGTTGGTGCTACGCCTGGCTCAAGTGAAAATAGCAAATTTCTACGCGCAACGAGACCTTGTTTGAACTCAATATGAACTTTCATGGTAGCTAGTCTAGGCATCGGACAAATCCAAACTTTGCCCGTCCCATTCGTCTCTGGCCTCCCGCTTGCGATGACTACATCTATTCAAGTTGAATACGCACATCGAATCCTGCAAGGGAGAAGAGCAGAGACAAAGAAGGGAATAGCTCCGAGAAGGGAGGTAAAGACTGAAGAGACCGAGTAGCAGCAGTAGAGACAGCAGCAGGGCGTTTAAGCAACGTCTTCACTATGATGGAGGTGAAGAGGGGAGTGGGCAAAGAAAGCAGTGATATGTCAGAAGATGTATGCGCAAAGATCTGTGGACTGCTGACTAGTTCCACATTCCCTCCTGTTCTTCTGTTTTTGGTAATGCGTCCCCTCCGACCGCTCGGTCAATGTGTTGGGTGGGGGGGGGGGGGGGGGGGGGGGGGCTAAGTGGGAGCTGTCCACTGTAGCGCGTCAACGATCATCAGGGAAATACCTGGCAGCTGCAGCTGTGGCATGGTTGCATTCACTGCTGTTCCCTCCCGTCACTGGCCAAAGCATGGACGTGGTGGCTCTTCGAGGGCTTTGGATCATTTCGTTTCTGAAAACCCCGAGAAGGACGAGGAACAACGATGAAGACCACTCGCGCACAACATAGCTTCTGCGTTGCGTTCTCTTCCTCGATAGGTCGCATACAACGACAACCCGCCCAGCCCGAGAAACAACCTTACAGCGTGACGAGACCCCAAGAAACAGACAACGCACGCCGGCATAGCATCCATGCCCGCAACGATGCGGAAGAGTCGGTTCGGCGACCAATCAGTGCGCCACAAAGCTTCAGAAACAGATGCATTGATGCGCGATGCGCTGGCACTTTCTGGTCTGTGTGTCTCCGTCCGCGCAGCGTAGCTCCAGAAAGGAATGGCAGAGAAAATAAAGGGACGGGAAGAGAAGGGCTGAAGAGACGAGGGGAAAGGGAAAGATGAGGGAAGCAAAATCCTCGTCTCCCCCCTTCGATGTTCCTCTGCGTTTTTTGCTTCCTTCTTATCCTCTGCTTGCAAGCTGCAAACCCCACCCGTTTCTTCCTACCTGCGCGGCGCGTCTTGGGACTGCTCGTCTACTTACCCCTCCATTCCTAGACACAAAACCCACATACGCACACTCTCCCCCGTGCGCGAATCGGCCTGCACACCCACAAGTCACCAAGCATCATCTTTCAGTCGCAGACTCGGCTCCCAAATGAACCTGCCGTCGACTTCGGCGCATTGTACCATGTCGATATTCGGCTTTCACACCGTCACTTTGGATCGATTAGTTTCGTTATACCGAGCAGATCCGGTCGTCTTCGTTACAATATGATCCAAAGAGCCCCACTACAAGTGATCAAGCGATCGCGCATCAGTCATGATAGTCATTGATCTACTTTCGTAGCATCGTCATCGTCACCTTCGCCGTCGCTCATCCCCTCTACCCATACCACAAACAGCGCCAGGTACAGTCGGTGCGCTCTCGAGCCTCTCAAATCAAACCGTCCGGCCAAAAAAAACTCTGCCATGTTGCGGCTACCGTTCTTCACCAACATAAAACCACGCTCCGCCCCCAAGCATACCGTTTGGGGGAAAATAAAAGGCGCCCCCTCCATGTGTGCAATACAATGAGATATAATGGGACTGAGCAGGCGCAAGTCGCTCTACTGATGCTGGCGCAGACCGACCGACCAACGCCGAATATTCCGCAAACTGAGTCAAGCTTTCAAGACACCACTCCACGCTGCCTGCGAGCATGTATCGTTTGAGTTCTCACAGCCACGTCTGGAACCACGGTTGGACTTGTGGCATACGAGCCGTTTCGCTCGAAGCCGAAGAGATATGAGGGGAAAGGAGCAGTTCAAGGCACAGCCCACAGGGCGACCGACAAACGAGAGTACGACAGCTCATCTGTTCGCCCACTTCATGAGCCACTGGATCACGGCATCCAAGTTGGTCTCCTCCTTGGCGCTGATCCCGTAGCAGCAGACTTCGCGATGGCCTATCGACTTGAGATCCAAAGCATCGATCAGCTCATCAACCGACAACTTCTGTGGGAGGTCCGACTTGTTCCCCAAGACTAGAAGCGGTATTTCTCGCAAAGACGCCTGTCCCATGAGAGCATGAAGCTCCTCACGGGCTTGCTGCAACACATCCATGTCGGCGATATCGACAATGAAAACGATGGCGTTGACGCCGCGGCAGTATCTTTCCCACATCGTCCGGAAACGGGGCTGGCCGCCAATATCCCAACACTTCAGTGTAACGTGCCCTCGTTGCACCCGCTTCATATTGAATCCGACTGTCGGGATCGAGCTACACGAGATCTCAGTTAGCCGAGGATGCCGCTAGCCGATGCTGCCAAACCGGAGACCACACGCAGGCCACTTTTGAAGCATCGACAGACGGAGAAAAGGTCGCTTACTCGATCGTGAACTCGCCGCCCTACGATTGCGACCATTAGCATGCGAAGGGAGCAGAATCGGCCGGCACGACGGGGGCTTGCATAGCTCGGTTCGACTTACCGCGAGCACGCGGAGAAGGGAAGTCTTGCCCGCGTTTTGCAGACCAATCATGGTCACGTCCATCTCAGTCGCCCTGCCGTCGCAAATCAGTAAACAGCTTAACAACCATCACCATGTCTGAGGGGCAGAGTGGGCGCAACGACAGCGGGGTAGGGTCAGAGCGCGCGGGCCGCCGTCGCTGGGAATCACCCCGCTGCCGTAAGTAGACCACAACACGGCAACTCACCAAAATGTCCTCAACAACCAGTCGTACACCTTTCGAAATAGCCCCGCCATGATTGCGGCTGGTGGGCGCGATGCGCTGGCACGGATAGGGACGTAGAGTTTGATGAATGTGTATGGCGGCAGTCGCTGTAGATGTCCGGTGTCAAAAGCAGTCCGACGACGACGACGACGGACGAGTAGTCGATGCCGCGCAAGGCTGATGGTAGGTTGCGGCGCGCAAGATGTCTCGTTTGAAGAAGGACAGAACGGCGAGACGGTGAGCAGGAAGACGACCGGGTGGGGTTGTGGTTTTGATGCTTAAGTATTCGATGCGCTCAGACGCCTGTCGAAATTAGGAATAAAAAAAATGTCTCGTATGACCCGTGGTAGCCGTTCAAATGTCGCAAGTCAAGTCTCGCGAGCATCGACGAGGAAATGCGCAGACCGTTCGGTTTGTGCGATGATGGGGGCGGAAGGGTAGGTAGGGACGTGGAGGCTCGAAGGTTCGCTCGTTCTCGTTGGCGGGTGATGACGAGCAAGGTAGGTAGGTATGTGCAAGGAGCAGCAGCGCAGCGCAGCGGTGCAGCGGGCGGGAACCAGTTGAGCCAGGTGACGCTTGGCCTGGCCTGGCCTGTCCCGGGTGGGCAAAAGTACACTAGTCGTGGATACCTAGGCACGGTAGGTGTACAGAAAGAGAAGAGAGGTCTCCACCGGAAGACGGGATGGAGGGGGATCCAATGTGGACTGCCTGCCCTAGCTAATGGGGGACGAGAAGAGCAGAGCAGAGTATCCTTACTGCCGTCGAGTTCAAGGTACCTCGATCCTGAACCGCACCGCTTGAGGCACAAGCTGTAGAATGAACCGTGCCGAGCTTTTCGTGTGCAAGGGCGGATGGGAAGCGATTTGAGAACAACCGCGACGACAGGGCCTGCAGCGGTTAGGACTAGGGTTTCATTCGTTTATTTCTGCCGGATGCCGGTGGAGCTTCTGCAACGGGTGCGCAATAGACGCGAGAGAGGAGCTGGTGATGCACGGGTGAGGGATTGGTGTATGTAGTAACAGCAGGCATACCTCTGTGATGTTGTGAGTTCCGTATGCAGACCACACGGACAGCGGCGGCGGCGATAGCCGCAACAAGAGCAACAGGGATGGCGAGCGCGGCGAGACTAGAATAGAAAACAGACGGCAAGGCTCAGATGCAGAGACAGGGATTTTCCACCACGGCTTTCGTCTGCCTTTGGCTTGTGATGGATGGACTGGCTTCGCGACGTCGATGCTTTCTTTCTCTGGCAAAATGCTGATAGGAGCACCAGCCGAGCTGTCGCGTAGAACCTAGAATATCGTAATCCGAGCAAGGTAAGCGGAATGTGGCTGACGTCCGTTTCGATATAGTGTCTGTGATCCTGACGGAGGCTTGCGAGATGATGTACGGACTCCCCAAGCATGAGTAGACTCCAGCCGACGGTCACGGGCGGCCCACAATGTCTCGGCCCGCCGTCTGCTCTTCTGGGCTGCACCTGGCGCAAAGCAAGACGTGGGTGCTGGAAGGGTGGTGAGACGATGTTTTCCTCGCCTGTTTATCCGAAGCTACCTTAAGTTGAGAAGAGGTCGAGAACGGCAAGATGCAAGGCGAGACCAGGGCTGTCTGGTGCGGCAGCAGATGCAAGACGGGAAGAATGGCAAAGACCGTAGCAGGCGGCAGGTATCCCAGATCGACGCCCCAACAAAGCCTGATGGCGGACCGAAGCGCGGAGCTGGACGGGACTGTGGGATGGAAGAATGGAGGACGGCGTTCGGCGTCTAATGACGTTTGTGATTGTGATGGGAGATCTGTCGTAGTGGGCGGCTCGCCGGCGACGGGGGTCCTAAGCGGCAAACGTTGGAGCGATCATGGACTGAAGCAATGCGGGTCCGGCGCCGCGAAAGGCAATGTGAAGCTGAAGATGTCGCTGTCACTGTCACTGTATCTCCAGCTGTTGGTATTCGCGGCTGCTGGCTGCTCAGACTGGGACTGATGCGGCCGGGAGAAGCAACGTCGAAACAAACTGCAGACGGGTCGAGTGAGAGGGAAAGGAGTGCAGAGATCGAGGTATTTAGCATCAATGCCGGGAAGGGAAGAGACGGTCAGGCAAGGCAAAGAAAGATGATTTGGGCCAGCAGAGTGGTAGGCCCAGGCAGGCACAGATAGGTAAAGGCAGCGACGAGGTAATTGATCCAATAATTACAGATCCAGGCGGTGGTAAGGCATGTACTTGGCCCAAGCAAGGTACACAGGCAGGCATCCTCTGCGCGGCACTACCTATCCCCGCGACAACATGCACCCCGTCGCTGCGAGCTGCGCGCTGTGCAATACTTACGCCGGCCTGCCCTGCCTGCTTCACTTACACACACCAACCCACCTCACCCAAACCATCTTCCCTACGGTACCCTTAGGTAAGGTACTAACGGTAAAGTACCCTACCTTACCTTAACGTTGTCGACCCCAAAGTACTGTACCTTTCCTACCTGCCCTCTGGTGGGTATGATAGGTAGATGCCCGCTCAAGCACCGTCGCGAGAAATCGCAGCATCACGGCACATCTACGCAGCCAGGCCTATATCTTTGGGCCCGGGTAGGCTGCGTTGGGCTGCAAGTTTCCAGTGGTACGCCATGCCCCCGTGCTCACCATCAATCATGGTTGGTTCGAGATGCGAGCTAGCTCTGTGTTCTGTGTGTGCTAGGCGCATCTTCGGGAGACATCCCCAAGGCCCAATCGACAAGCACATTGGCAGGAGTGACGGCGCAGGGGAGGGGAAACGATGGCCACTAAGGCAGCATGACCACCTTATGCACGAATACCTTACCTTGCCTTACGACCTTATGCACCTCACTTCCATCACTGCACATGCCTCGCACTCTCCCAGCTGCGGATACCATGCACGCACAGCGAGGCAACATGTTTTCTCGTCCTTCCTCGTCTTCAAGACCTCTGAGGATTACGCTTCTGAGTTATGGCCGATGGCGGTGAATTCATGACCGGGTCCTATGACGATGAAAAGTCTGTCTCTGGAAAGAATGCTTGAGTTCTTGTCCGTAGTGGTTGCTGACACCAGTTGCTGACGTGCTTCGTCATATCTCCCCGCGGGATCTTGGATGCGGTCCGTCTGGCCGAGTCTATCGAGCGCTCTGCTTCGCATGCCTTACCTAGGTATTCCATGTCGACCCAATAGCTGCCGTCCAATTTCTGGAATCATCGGACGAAACGTAGAGTTCCATCCTGCTGATGATCAGTAGCCGAAGCTGTCGGTCGACAGCCCAAGCTGCCGCTCCTCAGTCCCACCATTCGGGGCCATGTCACACCGAGTAACCAGCTCGGCCAGTCACTGACGGCAAAAGCCTTGTGACAGTTTTGGGGTAATGAACCATACGTGACACAGACATGAAGCCACTGCAGACTTGCAAGAGTAGCCTGCCCGCGGGAAGGTGATACGGATGAGGTGATGTACTCGTTGGCCGGCTTCCACCTCAGGGACGGAGGTGTCGAGTGTCACTTGGGTAGGTCCCGATGCCGAGACCCCCTTCATTCCCGCCCGGGTCGCAGTTCAGTGCCTGCACCACGAAAGTGCCCCCCTGTAAGCGATAAGATAAAGAAACCCCCACTATCTCTGATTGGCACCATCTCATTGGTTATTTCAATTTTTTTCCGCTCCATGTCTCCATAATAATTTTTTTGTTTTCACCGGGGCCCGATCGTCGCAAAGCCTCTTCTCTGGCCCAGCAATTCGATTCGGGGCTCCGAGAGAAGTTCATGTTCACCTCCTCCCTGTTGCCGCCGTCTTGCGCAGAGAGCCAACTCGTACCTGTGCCGTCAAAGTCGCATGACCCAAGCCTTGGTCGCTGCTCCCTCCATACTCCACGGCGCCTCGACACCACCTAACTGCTGTGTAGCAGGCGAACAAGCGAGTGAGCGAACATGGCTCCTTCGGCGACCAGCACCGAGTGGGATCACCAATACAACACCCTCCGCCGCGAGAATCTCTTCAGGAACCCCCCCAAAGACCACACGGCCTATCCGGCTCTGCAAGAAGCTGTCAGCCCGCACATCGACTCCTTCAATGCTTTGTTCAGAGCCGACGGCAAGGGCCTCCTCGCCCGAGGCTTGGAGGACATCGGCGTCAAATCCTACCTCGACGGCGACGACAGAACCGGACCCGAGGGCAAGAATCGCTTGACCATCAAATACAAGGGCGTGTCACTCCAGAAGTCTCAGCTGCCCCCCTCCAACAAGTTCGCCCGCAATCGCGAGATTCTCCCGTCCGAGTGCAGAGAACGACATTGCACCTACCGAGGCAGACTTTCCGCGACATTCGAGTACAGGATCAACGATGGTGATCCCAAGGAGTTCGTTCGCGAGCTCGGCCAGGTCCCTATTATGGTCAAGGTAAGCGCATTTCGTCGCCCAGGTCGTCCTTGGAAGTGCCCAGCTGATAGCATTCCCTTAGTCCAACAGGTGCCACTTGGAAGGAAACTCGCCCGCACAGCTGGTGCAAAAGAAGGAGGAGTCGGAGGAGTTGGGCGGATATTTCATCGTGAACGGCAACGAAAAAATCATCCGAATGCTACAGGTCAACCGACGAAATTTCCCCATGGCCATCAACCGCCCCAGCTTCCAGAACCGTGGCCAAGGCTACACCCCGTACGGTATCATCCTCCGCTCCGTCAGGCCCGACGAAACATCGCAAACCAATGTCTTGCACTATTTGAGTGACGGAAACATGACCTTCCGGTTCTCTTGGAAAAAGAATGAGTACCTCATCCCGGTCATGATGATCCTCAAGGCGCTGGTAGAGACCAACGACCGCGAGATCTTTGAAGGGCTGATTGGCCTGTCGCACTCCAAGTCAGCCAAGAACACCTTCCTGACGGACCGCGTTGAGCTACTCCTCCGCACCTACAAGTCGTATGGCCTATACAGCAAGACCGAGACGAGAGCCTACTTGGGCGAGAAGTTCCGCGTAGTGATGGGCGTTCCGGATACCATGTCCAACTATGATGTTGGTACTGAGTTCTTGCGCAAGATCGTGCTTGTCCACCTGGGCAACGTAAACGTCACTGAGAAGGAAGACAACGACAAGTTCAGGACTTTGCTGTTCATGATCCGGAAGCTCTACGCGCTTGTTGCTGGGGACTGTGCCGTCGACAACCCGGATGCCCTTCAGAACCAGGAGGTTCTTCTCGGAGGCTTCCTTTACGGAATGATTATCAAGGAACGTCTCGAGGAATTCCTGACTACCGCTGTCAGGCTGTCTTTGAGAGAATGGTGCAGAAAACACCCCGCCACGCCATTTACATCTCAAGAATTCGCCAAGGAATTCCCGGGAAACATCTTCAGACACGCCAACGAGAACGTCGGAAACGGATTGGAGTACTTCCTGTCCACGGGCAACTTGACGAGTCCTTCAGGTCTTGACTTGCAGCAAACGGCCGGTTTCACAGTCGTCGCGGAAAAGCTCAACTTCCTCCGTTTCATCAGCCATTTCCGAATGATCCACAGAGGTGCTTTCTTCGCCGAGCTCAAGACCACAACGGTTCGAAAGCTTTTGCCCGAATCCTGGGGTTTCATGTGTCCAGTACATACTCCCGATGGTGCTCCCTGTGGCCTGCTGAACCATCTGGCACACAAGTGTAAGATCATGACCGAGTCTGTCGATGCTTCCAAGATTCCCGCCCTTGTGACGGAGCTGGGCGCCGTGCAGACCTCTTCCGCTGCGACTGACGAAAGCGTTGTCATTATGCTTGACGGCAGGATCATCGGCTTCTGCACTCCCCGCGAGTCCCTGAGAATCGCAGATACCCTGCGCCACTGGAAGGTCGAGGGTACCCACGGCGTGCCTCTGCAACTCGAGATTGGATACGTCCCTCCCTCCCACGGCGGCTCTTACCCCGGAGTCTACTTGGCGTCTGCGCCCGCACGTATGGTCAGACCCGTCAAGTATCTTCCTTTGGACAAGGAAGATTTCGTTGGGCCCCACGAGCAGCCATACATGTCGATCGCCGTTGTCGAGAATGAGATTGTTTCCGGAGAAACAACGCATGTCGAGTTCAGTCCTACGAATATGCTGTCTATTCTGGCGAACATGACCCCTTTCTCAGATTTCAACCAGTCACCCAGAAACATGTACCAGTGTCAGATGGGTAAGCAAACCATGGGAACACCGGGAGCTGCTCTGCGTCACAGAACCGACAACAAGATGTACCGGTTGCAAAGTGGCCAGACTCCCGTCGTACGATCGCCTCTGCACAACGCTTACGGTTTCGATAACTTTCCCAACGGCACGAACGCTGTCGTGGCGGTCATCTCGTACACTGGCTACGACATGGACGACGCTATGATCTTGAATAAATCAGCACATGAAAGAGGCTTTGGACACGGTACCATCTATAAGACGAAGAAGGTCAGCCTCAAGGACGAGTCGAGAACTAGGTCTGTGAAGAACATCACCAAGCTCTTTGGCTTCGCTCCCGGTGGCTTCGTCAAGGGGCACTACCGCGCCGCTCTTGACGAGGACGGGTTGCCATTCGTCGGCCGCATGGTCCAAGAAGGAGACGTCCTCTGCGCGTGGCACACGGTGTCAGCAGACTACAGCGGCAAGCTGATCAACCTCGACGGACAAACCCACTATGAGAAGTACAAGGAATCTGAGACAGCCTTCATCGAAGAAGTCCGCGTTATCGGAAGCGAGACGGGCAACGAGCCCGCTCAGACTGTTTCTATCAAGCTGCGAATTCCTCGATCTCCAGTCATCGGTGACAAGTTCTCCTCTCGTCACGGACAGAAGGGTGTTGCCTCTCAAAAGTGGCCAGCCATCGACATGCCCTTCTCTGAATCTGGTATGCAGCCGGATGTTATTATCAACCCCCACGCTTTCCCTTCTCGTATGACAATCGGCATGTTCGTCGAGTCCCTCGCCGGAAAGGCGGGAGCCCTTCACGGTCTGGCGCAAGATTCGACGCCATTCAAGTTCAACGAGGAAAACACGGCGGCCGACTACTTTGGCCATCAACTGATGAAGGCTGGCTACAACTACCATGGTAACGAGCCCATGTACTCGGGCATCACTGGAGAGGAACTGGCGGCAGACATTTACGTTGGAGTTGTCTACTACCAGCGTCTCCGTCACATGGTTAACGACAAGTATCAGGTCCGAACGACCGGACCAGTCGTGCCAACCACGGGCCAGCCCATCAAGGGAAGGAAGCGCGGTGGTGGTATTCGTGTGGGAGAGATGGAACGTGATGCTCTGCTCGCTCACGGCACCGCCTTTTTGCTGCAGGACAGACTGCTCAACTGTTCCGACTACACAAAGACGTGGATCTGCCGGAGCTGTGGTTCTTTTCTCTCGGTTCAACCGACGGTCTCGCCGTTCGTGGGCAAGAAGAAGCAAGTCACGACGGTGCGATGCAGAAACTGCGCAACCCAGCTGGACGCCGGTGATGCTGTCAGTGCTGCCAAGGTCGAGGGGGAGATCTGGGAGGACGGACAGGGCAACCAGTGGGTTGGAGGAGAGAACACGACGATGGTTGTCGTTCCTGGTGCGCTCAAGTACCTGGATGTTGAGCTGGCAGCTATGGGTGTCAAGCTGAAGTACCGCGTCGATTCCCGCGACGCACCCCGCAAGGGCCCATTGAAGCCCATGTCATCATTACCATAGACGGCGTTTGGTGGACAAAAGAAGTCAGTCACCCCTGTAATTTGATTATGATTTATTCCAGACCCTATCCAATTCGTATGTGTTTCTCTCACCACGCACCAAGCCTTGTCTGGTGAATGTAATATTCCGAGCTCGATAGCGCTCTTCGTGTGAAAGGCCGAAGGCCGAAGAGCGGTTTGACAAACATTGTTGCTCAGTGTCCGTACGGCCGTGCAAAAGATTCCCAGACCGGATTGGAAATCATGTCATTTGCGATATGCAGGTAACCGATTCCAGCAGACTTTGGAAATGACACTCGTATCACGAAACACCGGTAGCCGTCGTACAAAGGCATGGAGATCGGTTACCGGCTCGGCCTCGGCAACGCTGCCACCAAGCTCTGGATTCAGAAGTGCAGATGCTGACTGCCCTTGCACCTCAGGTACGTTCTGGCAATGGGCCACCGTTTAGTAACGTGACCAGAATACCTTACTTCAGAAGCAAGGGGGGTTGCCTCAGAAGACAGCAAACAGCCCACGAGGGTATAGGTGATGTCTGATGGTCAAACGGTTCCGCGCATGCTCAGCTGATGATCAATTGTGTTTTGCGGTTGTTTCGAGGGGGCACCCGGTGTAAACCAACACAATGGAGGAGGTTCCGAGGGGCTCGCGGATACAGCCTTCAGGCAGGTCATCTCGCGGACGCTTGCTTTGGTTGAAGTAGTCCTGACCAGGGTACTTCTATGGTATAGCTACCTAGCCGTCCTTGCCGACAAGAAGGCGCAAGACCCCTTCTTTTCTGCTGGCTGGCTGTAAGTAGTCGGTGCGTGCCTCAGCGCGGTAGATCTTCTGGGGGCACTTTCTTCACTGAGATGCTTCCTTGTCAGCAGAAGCAAAGCCGGGGAAACAATTTAAATTAACCTGGCAGCTGTGAATGGCGCGGATACAGCGTGCCACACTCGCCTCGTGCGCTTGGCCTTCATCGAAATACTTCACGTCTCGGCCGCGTTCGTCCCCACCGCCTGACTTGATATCTTTCCTCCCACTCCCCGCCAGTCCTTTGCCCACCTTCCACCGTCTGTACAATGGCGGATTTGCTTAGAGGAACCATCAAAGCATTCTGCAGTATTTGAAGCCCACGATCTTCTTGTCCCACACAGGGTACTCTTCCGTAGCTCAGGTTCCATCGTTTTGATCAGCTTGAGCGACATACCTCTGCAACTGCAACCACAACTGCCGGTTACCCGCCTCCATCCCTCTGATTCAAATATCACTTCCACCTCGGTCCAAGGCCCACGCTATCGTCCTTCAATCCGCTTGATTACAACCAAGCCCGCGTGGCAATGGAGACTCTTATCGCCCTCTGGTCGTTCATCATTCTCTTCGCGGCAGCTGCCACGGCAGTCCCGTACTCGCCCACGTACAATTACGGCTTCGATGCAGCAAATTTGGTTAAACGCCAAACAACACAAGACCCTATCGTTGTCACAAAGCTTCCCCTTGCCAATGGAACTGTGCCCGTTCGTCCTGAAATCAGGCAGATGAAGCAGAACCCATACAAATGGAATCTGTTTTTGCTCTCCATGAGCATGCTTCAGTACACGAATCAGAACGACGAGCTCTCGTGGTACCAGATCGCAGGCACGTTTATTCGCTCAACACTCGAGCCAAAACCTAACACCAGACAGGTATTCATGGAGTCCCTTTCGTTCCGTGGAACGGCGTTCCAGGTGCTCCCGGGATCGACGATAGGGGCTATTGCACCCACATGTCCATTCTTTTTCCTCCATGGCACCGCGTCTATCTCGCCCTGTACGAGGTTAGTGAAGGCCAGGAGTCGCAGTACGTGTACATACTAAGTCCCAACCAGCAAGTTCTCTTTCGCCTGGTCCAAATGATCGCTACCTGGTTCACGGATCCAAACGAGCGTGCCTTCTATCATGCCGCCGCAGCTGATTTTCGCATCCCGTACTGGGATTGGGCTGCTGCACCGCCGACCGGGGAAAGCGTGTTCCTCCCTGACTTCGAATCCGAAGGCATTCAGATATATGGCCCCAACGGTTGGCAGTACATTGCCAACCCGCTTTACAGCTACAAGTTCAATCCGCTGGATCCCAAGGTTTTCTCTCAAGGCGATGTAAGCAAACAATCAGCAAGCACTTGACGGAGAGGTACGGGAGCTAATCCAGGCAGTTCCCGAATTGGACAGAGACCAAGCGAGCGCCGTTTGAGAAGACTGACAACCGCAGCGTGGCGCATTCCATCGAACATGCGAGACCGGCTTTACAGCAGAGACTATACACTCTATTGTCAAATTATAAGGACTACGGCCCCTTCAGCAACAAGTATTGGGGCACAGCCACCAACCAGTCGCAATTCGACTCGGTCGAAGCGCTCCATGACGCGATGCATGTTTTGGTTGGCAACCGTGGCCACATGTACTACATCCAATATTCAGCCTTTGACCCCGTGTTTTTCCTTCACCATACAATGGCGGACAGGATAGTCACGATGTGGCAAGCTTTATACCCAAACTCGTGGGTGACGCCCCAGGTCGCGATGGAGCATTCTTTCACCATGCCACCTGGAGAAGTCCACGACGTATTCACGGAGCTCAAGCCCTTCTTTGCAAATGCCAGCGGCGCATTCTGGAACTCGGAGATGGCAAACGACACGTTGCACTTTGGCTACTCATACGCGGAGACCATTCCTGGCCAGGGGGGGTCCAAGTCTGAAGATCGTACCCGCCTCATAACAGCAATCAACAGGCTCTACGGATCATCCAGCCCTTCAACCCTCGTTCAAAAACGCAAGAGGGCCCTTGGGAGACGAGGTCGTGGGAAGTTTTCGCAACTTCGACAAGGCACTTTGTCAGATGATGTGTCACCAGACTTCTCACGCGAGCCTCACGTTGCTGCCAGTCTTGTAACTGACGATTACACATACACAGAGTGGATCGCCAATGTCCACGTACAGAACGGCGCACTAAACGGCTCGTTTACTATCCATTTATTCATGGGCGTGGTTCCTGGAGACATCATTTCTTGGTCGGCGGCACCGAATTTGGTTGGGTCGATGAATGTCTTCGCCATGAAGAACATGGGATCCGCAAACCATGTATCGGGGACGGTCCCATTAACGTCAGCTTTGATGCACATGGTATCTGCAGGAGGCGTGGCAGGGCTTGATCCAGGCCAGGTCGAGCCCTACTTGAAGACGTTCCTTCAAGTCCGCGTGATTGGAGAGGACGGAGAAGAGGTTCGACCTGATTCTGTCGTGGGTCTCTGCGTCCAGATCGCGAGTTCTGAGGTCCAGGCAGCAAGGAACGAAAGGGAGCTTCCGGTTTGGGGTCCGGTTATTGAAAGGTTCGAAGTGAACCTTGGTTGATGCTGTTCCGATAACGATGATTGATCAAAGTAAAGAATTGGGAGGGGCTTTTTCGGGGGTTTTCAAGTAGATTCTTTTCTCGGGATACTCGACGTTTAATGTGTAATTTTCTTGTCTGAACGTTGCCCCGCCTAATCTTCGTTCATCCAGTGTCGAATTTGGCCTCAGTGATTGTCATGCCATGGACGAATGAAGTGAATGTGGCAGGTGCACCGGTACATAGGTACATACTTTCATCGCACATAAGCCACAGCTGCATCTATGCTGCGCCCCAACCAGGCTATTAGCCCCACTTCCCAGATACGGGCTGGGAACTTTTCCGAAGCTTCAGCCTCTCCTGCTTCTGCGGCTTAGGAGTCAACTGGTCCACGCAGGGTCGCGACATCCTCCTTCTCACCCACACTATCCCAATCCACACGCGACGTACGGAAGCCGCCAACATGAAGCTCGTCAGGTAAGTATTCAAAGCCTTCTCCCCTCGTCGTACTCGGTCTGTGTGCTGAGCTTCCATCGCAAAAGACCGCCATGATCGAGGACCCCCAGAGCTGACATGTACTGCCCACCACCAGATTTTTGATGAAATGCGCCAACGAAACGGTGACAATTGAACTCAAGAATGGTTAGTGTGTTTGTTTTCTTTTTTGTCCTTCCAAGAAGCACGGAATTTGCGGTAGGACTCCTGATTGAGGACGACTGCTGAACGCGATTGCACGTAGGCACCATCGTCCACGGCACCATCACGTCTGTCTCGCCCCAGATGAACACGGCGCTTCGTACAGTCAAGATGACGCCCAAGGGTCAGGACGCCGTGTCGCTCGACACCATGAACATCCGTGGCTCCACCATCCGATACTTCATCCTGCCCGACTCGCTCCCGCTAGACACGCTTCTCATCGACGACGCGCCGAAACCCAAGAACAAGGCTCGCAAGGAGGCTGAGCGCGGCACCGGCGGCCGTGGAGGCAGAGGCGGCCCAAGGGGACGTGGCCGTGGCAGGGGACGCGGTCGTGGTCGTGGTTAGATGGGGAGAGGTCTGTACGAGGCAGAGGGCGCTTCCAGGGTCTGCAGATGAGCATACGCACACTCACAGCCAGTTACGACGGGCGCGGCTGAGAATGGATGATCCACGTGCTATCACCGTGGGAGATGACTGCAGATGCCTGGGACCGACTTGGAAAGGGGGGGAAAGATCGTCGCGGGACCCCCGGAGACGAAACCCGCGACTTACTTTGCAGTTCGGCCCAGAGCACAAAACGTATCATATGCATCAAGTTGAACCGGGTGCTCTTCAGGCGTTGGGGAAGATAGGGAAATCAAGACTTCAATTCCACCATGAACCTTTGACACCGGCGGTGGTAACGGTGACGCTTGAACACCTAGAGTGCGTGGTGATTGAGGGATGCCGAAGTGGACTAAGCTTTGTTCAAGTTGAGAAAACCATGCAAAAGAGGTTGACAGTAACTTTGTTCCACGGTGTCTACTCATCAGCTCTCCATACCCTAATGATCTGCAATTTTTCCCATCCGGCTTGCTTCCCGCTCTCGCCGACCGTGACAGCTCTCCAACCGTTTCCCAATCCCTCGATGCGGTCCTTGACCTGTTGCGGCTTGTTCTGCGCGCATAAGAGAATGTAGGCGCATCCTCGAGCAGAAAGCACCGAAGGCAAGGCCTCGAGTAGCCTATCCGTCGTTTCCATGCCGTCCTTGCCGCCCGCGTAAGATAACGAGAGGAAATACGAGTCCTCGTCAAAGGTCGTTTTCCTCTCGCCAATCCTCAACGTGTCCGACGACTGGTCGGGCAGCTCCGAGGAAGGCACATACGGCGGGTTGAAGACGAGGACGTCGACGACGCCGTCGCGCAGCGGGGATGCCAAATCGCCCATCATGGCACCGAGCCAAGTGTGGCAGCCCGTCTCCTCGTTCTCCTTGCGCGCGCGCTCGACGGTGCCGTTTGTCGCGCGACATGCAAAGCCGTTCAGGTCCACGCCCGCCGTCAGGACGTTGCGGGTGCCGAACAGTCTCTCGGCCTGGGCGGCGACGAAGCCTATGACCACGCCCGAGCCGGTGCCGACTTCGACCACGAGGGGCGCGGCGGTGCTGTTCCCGCCAAAGCGGGAGGTGAGGAAGGCTGTTTCCGAGGGCGCAGAGATGGTGTCGAGGAGGAGATATGAGTCCTCTGCCGGTTCGTAGACACGCTCAAAGGGCACATGGGATGTGTCTGGTGTTGGAAGCATGTTCGATCGTCTGTGATTTGTGTTAGTGCGTGTGTCTAGTGAGCGGTTATGTGTGAAACCTTGAGGTGTAGCTTTCGACAGGACACGTCTTTTTTTGGAAACGAGGTCGTCTCACTATTTGCTTTATGATTAATAATGGACGGTCTGCTGTCGCTCCAATGGCAGTTATATCGAGTCGGCGTCGACCCTGGGAGCCAAAAGCGCTGCGTGGTTCGGCAGGTTGAAAAAAAGCCTAGTTTGTGTCAAATCTCGGTCTACCAAAATGTGGGGTTTTGACTGTGTATGGTTTGATGCCCCAAGATGGAAATCGCCAACTGTAATCACTTTATTACGAAGCGCCATAATTAATTTTGAAGTTTTATATTCATTGAAATGTTGAGTTTTTAAATATGTACTAAGAATTTCAGCGGAAGAGAACTGACGCCATAGATAGGCGAAAATCGCTTCTAATCGATGATACCATCGGGCAAGAAGCTCACGTAGTCTAGAGGGGCCACCTCTGGTCCGTCTGGAGTTCCGACAATCTTGAGAGTGTCTCCCTTCTCAATCTTGACCCCGGGGAAGTTGATACGAATAGCTGAATGTCCATCCAGGTATTCCGATGGCCAGTGACCTAGCTTCTCCTCCCCGTCTCCCCTCCACTGGCCAACGACTTGGTCGTTGATATAGGCAACATACGAGCATTTGCCCCTGATGACGTCAAAGTAATTGACAGCAAGAGTGTAAGTTCCAGACTCAAAGTCGACGACGGCTGTAGCAGTTCCGGTAGTCGTGTTGGAGCTGGTGACAATGGCCTTGTAGCCGGACGCCGTCTCAAAGGGGTCAACATCCACAACCTTGTATCCGTCCAAAGTCATGCTCTCGGCCTCGATGCGGTACTTGTAGTTGCCCACACGGCCCGCCTCATCGGCAATGCTGGACTTGTTCCAGTAGAAGTTGTTGATAGCATCACGCCACACAATGGAGTGCCCTGCTTGATACTTGAGCTTGAAGAGGATATGCTCGTAGCGCTCGGCATCAATCTGGTCCTTGAGAGACTCCCACATGGATACAAACGTCTGAGCAGTGGCAGCGCCGTCGTAGTGTGCATCATAAAAGTGCTGGATGACGGTCTTTCCGCTCTTGAGCACGTGAGTGTAGGGGACGTGGTGGAACCAGAGGAGGAGGTCGTCCGGTGTGGTGTCAATGTTCTCATACATCTCTGCCACCTCTGTCGGGTACTGTCCAGCGTTACCAGTGCCATTCTTGACTGTTCGGTCCATGCCGACGCTGAATCCGTCCGCTCTGGTCCACTGGCCCCAGCCGTTATTGTCCTGAGATCTATGGATGAGGTTAGTGAATACAGTGTAAGGCAGGAGGCTGGCACGAGGAAAGACTCACCTAGGCGACGGCCCATAATGAGCGTACAGAATATCGGTCAGCGTCTGGATTCCCAGGTTGCCGCTGTAGCTCTCGTACGCATGCCAACTCTCCATGGACATCTTGGTGATGGTGTCGATGACGGTGGGGTCCAGACCGAAGGTCAGGCGGGTCCAGTCCTCAACAATGGTGGTAACATCATCAGTCGGGTTCCACGCGAGTCGGCCGTAAGCATACAGGTTTGACATGGCGAGGTGACTACCCAGCCAAGTAGAGTTGGCACCGACATTGACAACACCAGCATATCCGGTGAGAGTCTTGTTGAAGCGCTTGCCCGAGAGAATGTCGTGCATCACGGAGGGCTGCCCTCCGATGCGCAGATCGAAGTCCAGGATGGTCTTCCACAGAGGAGGGAGGTAAACGAGATGATCCTGTTGCCCGAGGTATTCCTGCGAGATTTGCAGCTCGATAGCCATGTTGGTGTGCTCCAGGTTGGCAAAGAGAGGCGACACAGGCTCACGGACTTGGAAGTCGATGGGGCCATACTTGATCTGTACAACGACGTTGTCGTCGAACTTGCCGTCCAGCTCCTTGAAGAATTCCACAGCCGCGTTTGCTCGGTCCGCGTGCCAGTCTGTCCAATTCAGTTGATCGTAGACAAAGGCACGGAACATGACGATGCCCTGCTTGAAGCCATGGTTCTTCAGCTCCCTGGCAAAGAGGTTGGCACCGTCCGCGAGGGTTCTGTTGTATGTTATGGGGCCAGGCTGGCCCTCGGAATTGGCCTTGACGAGGTATCCGCACATGTCTGGGATGCGCGAGTAGAGCTGCTCGGTGATGTTGCCCCACCACGCAATGACAGTCTCGTCGAGGGGATCGAACGTCGTGAGGTTACCAAAGGTTTGCGGGGAAGCAAAGTTCATCGAGATGCCAATTTGGACGCCCCAGGGCCTGAAGGCATCGGCAATTCTCTTCAAGCCGTCCATGTTCTCCGAGGACAGGAGGATGGGGTTGGCGTTGACGTTATTCACGATGATGCCGTTGATTTTGGCTGAGGCTAGGAGGCGGCCGTATTGAGAGACGCGGGTCATGTCGGTAACAACCTTGAGGTTTTCGAAGAAGATGGAGACTCCTCCGTACTGCGAAAGTTAGCATGGGAGTGCTGACGGACAGTGATTCATGAGACAGAGGGACCTACACCACGCTCGATGCTGCCGTGAGTTCCGGTGCCATCCATGTTATCCCACTGGTTGGCCCAGCGAATCTTTGCAGACGGGTTGGTCGCGTACGCAACCTCACTGAAGTTGCCTTGAGCAAGCAAGCTCAAGTACTCAAAGGCACCGTACAAGGCGCCCCTCTCATTCTGACCTAGAATCTTGACCGAGTCGCCCTTGACGCTCAGCCAGAAGCCATCTTCGACGAGGTCCGCTGTGACACTGTCGGCACCGCAGGCCGCAATGTAGGTGTCGAGGGTGGCCACGACGATAGAAGAACCATTGCAAGCATCGCTGCCAACTGTGACCTCCTTGCCGAGAATGCCTTTGTACCCCTTTTGCAGCTCGGAAAGGGCAGAAGAAATCGGACCGTTCTCCGTGGCGTTGAGTCCAACTACGGCAGAAGGAAGAAGAGCGTTCGCTGCGCCTGCCGACTCGGGGAGTCTGGCGTAGCGCAGCCAACCGTCGAGGCCATCCTCGGCGACAACGAGGCCGACGATGGACGCGAGGAGAAGAGACGTCCGCATGGTTGGTGCCGCTGGAGAAGAAAGCCAGTTGGAGAAGCGCTTGCTCTACCAAGCTCCCAAGGCAACTCAGGGTGGCATGGTGTTATAAAGCCAGCTCCAAGCGCGTCATGGGTAGCCATCCAGATCTGCGAACTCGCAGCGAACGACTCCCGGAACCCAGCATCGGGGCATTCCCGACCGGGGCAGACAGCGGTAATGCCACTATCGCATTCAGGCTAAAAGGGCACTCGGTATTCATCCATGGGCTTGGAGTGGAGAGCCCTGGAAGCAGGTACGGACATCAGTCGAAATAAGTCCAGATGGACCCGTCAAGAGTGTGACCCTTCATTTGGAGTCTAAACCGCGACGTGCGAAGAAATTGGCGCTAGCGGAGAGGGGAGAGGCTTGGACGAGAAAAAACAGCCCAGAGTTGGTTGAACATGACCCGAGCAGCTCTTGATTTACATGCCCTGAGCCTAAAGCTATGTTGAATCAGTTGGACGGGTCAATCAACATGGAGAAGGGTTCATGTAGCCTTTTGCAGCCGTCAGGGCACCTAGGTCGATGGCGAGCAGGCGACCGGAGCAGAGAAGAAAAGGGGGATGGATACTGCTGTGATTGAGTTCAGACGGTTCTTTTCGTTCTCCCCCGCACAATGCAAAAAGAGAGCGCGGGGTGAATCGGGGAAAAGCTACACACAGCGTGTGGGGGAGAAGAGTTCGGGCGGTGAACCCCAGCTGCGGTCCACTTAGATATTGGGTAGTGTACGCAGTGGATGAGGTAGTACCCCGGGTACTGCGGACATGGCTTCCCAGTGTGTCTGTTTACATAGCATTGCTCGCAGCGGTCTGCTGTCCAAGTCCTTGGGAATGTAGATCACCAGTTCAGCCTGCAATCTTACTCAAGTAGAAATGTTAATTTCATGACTCGGGATGTGCAAAGCTGTGAATCTGGACGGGATCATGCCGCTTGTTCGGCGCTCCTCGACCCCCTCGGTCTAGCTCCTCCGATAGACTGGGTCCGCAAGAACCCCAACTGGCCCCGGTATCAACGCCGTCTACTGCATACTGCGTCCCTTATCCGTTGCCAACCCGGATAATGTGAACCTCTCCATCTATTAAAGTCGCCAGACGTCGTCATCGGGTCTTGGCCCTGTTCAATTACCCGTCAGCTCGCAAAATTCGGCCCCAGCCGCCATCCTCATGCCTTACCTCCATGCTCTCTGTCCCTGCCCGCAATCCTCGGTTTCGGCCTCCTCACATGATGGCGCAGGCGCATTCAATGCCCGCATCCTGCTTGTTGGGGCCCGTGCCAAATTTGATGCCGTTGGTAATCTTCTTAATCATTCGAATCTGGTTGCGGTCGTAGAGTCCGAGGAGGTCATGTTTGGGGCACGGCCGCAGGTTGGCGAGCTGCATTCGCAGAGGCTTTTTCGCGATGCCACTTCCGAACTGGCCGCATGTCGCGTAGCCCATTCCGGGTCCGCAGGAGACTGCAATCTCACCCCAGATGCACTTGCACTCGACGTGCTTGTAGATGAAAACTTCGCACATTCTTCTTGCGTAGGTTCGCTGTCTAGGAACGTGGCGCATCAGCCTGGGTAGGTGGGGTTTTCAAGGTTGCGCTGGGTTTGGATACAAAGTGCCCCGTCAGCTATATGAGCGAGGTGAGGAAGGTCTAGCTACACCCACCCTGACAGTGAATGGCAGGAGCTGATCTTGCAGCCTCCTCCAGCCTTTTCGGACGAATCGCCGCAACTGAGTGACTTTTTAGCTCTAACTTGGAAGCACAAGATATACGCAGCCGTGCACATGATGTCACATGGAATAAATATTTCACGAATTCGTGGTTATTCCTACTCAGTCTGACAATACGATTGCTCCCACGGAAGGTTGGTTGGTGCCAGAGCGCACCAACAGCC